GACCTAAAGAGACAGACAGATGAGGTCACTTAAGAAGGGCCAATTCTCTCTCCTACACTATTTTCCATACTTCCAGAGCAGAAACAACAATTGTTCCTATGTGCTGGCAAGGACCTGACATTTTTATAGTAACTGCCCAGGTGACGGAAGGGCTGGAGAACCAGGGGACTGGACCAAGGACCTGATGACCGGTTCTTAGGTTACTATAGCTCTTGTCATCCCTGTAAAATTGCAGACTGAGGGACTACTGTGAAGGTTATTATCTTGGTCTCAACAGCTGCTGCTGTTTCATGTGCTTGCAATGAAATATTTATTATAAGTATTCTTACAGTTACAGCTGCTATTCAGACTCAAGCTTCCTTAAGGAAGTGCCATTTGTTGAGCACCTGGTGGCAAGTGCTTGTCTAAATGATATCAAGTTCCTCCACCAAACTACCAGTGTACTTTTGCACCTTGCCTTTGTTTCAGCAAACAGGTTTGATGGGGCTGTGGCACATGAAGAAGTGGATCTGGAGTCTGGACTTGGTTCTGCCTTGCTCTGAACCTATGTGCTTCCCACCATTTCAACTGTGTTTCCTTGAGGGAGACTTTGGAGTGTGTTCTACACAGACAGTCTCCCTTATGCCCAAGATGCTTTGTTTCTATCACCTCTTCCCTATAAACGACATGCTCTCTAAAGGCTGCCTAACTCAGTTATCCCTATCCACTGTCTTCTAATGACCCACTCTCCATTCTTTGGCCAAACCTAGTGTTCAAGACACTTATCAGATGATGTCACTACATTTCAGGGCCCTGTTATCTGGCCCAGCCTCTGCTACCAGCACAGAGGCACCTCAACGTCCCACACTTTGTCCAACTAAGGTCATTTTTGAGTTGTTTCCTCTGCCAAGCTTGCTCTTCCTTTGTTGGACTGGTACATTCCTGTCAATCAGCCTCAGCCTAACATTTCCTCCCAAGGCTGCTTCTCTGATGCATCCAGATATGCTCCAACACTTCTCCCCATTGGGTACAGGTCTGATCTAATACTTTATATTTACTTACATACTGTCTGCTTCTTCTATGCTATTATACCTTAAACGAAAACTCACACTAGAGTAGGTCCTTTGTCTCTTGCTCCCCATGAAATACAGACCGTGAAACAGAGAAAGTAATTCAGTATCTGACAGCTATGGAGTCTTGATGGTCACTTCATTCACCCTCTCAATAAGTAGGCAGTGAAAATATAAATGTCTTGAGTGTTACAGGGCATTACTTAATGCCTCTGTGTACAACAGGGACCATCTCCCATTTAAGTTTAATCATAGAAACTCACACAGGTCTTGAATGTAGGGCTCATGAGACTTACAAATGAAAAATGATGGAGGCTGTGTCTAATATTCTGTCAGTATTCAAGAGATACACGTTGAACCAGGTGTGGTGGCTTAAGCCTGTAACTGCAGCACTGGGGAGGCTGAGACAGAAAGGTTACCATGAGTTCAAGGCTATCTTGGGCTACATTGTGAAATTCTGTTTCAAGAAATAACTAAATAAGAAGAGAAATACACATTGAAAACTGTGAAGTGTTAAAGAGGATGGCATGGCTCTCCTCTGCACAAGCTTACATAATTGGTTAGTGAAAGTGGAGGTAAGCTTATAAAAGCAGAAAGCTGCTTAATGATGGCCCCTTATTAGGAGGGTGACCAGACGTTCCTTAATGATGCATATTTTCAACAAGGCCTCTGAGGAAACACAATTAGGACTCATGGGAGAGGAGGGGAGGCATGCTGGGCAGATGATCATTGTAAGCACAGACACTGCAGAAGAGTATGCATGATGCAGGGCGCAGGGCCACATCTCTGTCCACTGTGTCTGCTACAAGAGAATACCTGAGGGTGGGGTAGAGAGAGGAGTGTGAACTCAGGATTTTATCAGGATCTCAGTTCTGTGACAACTAACCTACTACAGTAACAAACAACATTACTCCATTTGCGAGGCCCACCTCTCAACATGGTTGCACTGGGTTAAGTTTCCAATAAACGAGCCTTGGGGGACACATTCAAACCATGTCAAGTCAGCCTTGCCTGCAGAGAACCATGGCTAGAAGAGGTGTCTGGAGTAGTCTCACTAGGAGCCCTGGACTCATGTTGAGCTGTGATTTTTCCACTTCCAGTTCTTCACTATACCCGTGAAATTTACCACCTGAACTCACACTTGTACAGAAGTCTATTAGCCTATGGGTCAGATCACTCTGAGTGGCACCTCACACTTCCACAGTTGTGCAGATGAAGGGCCAGAGGATCCTCAGCAAACAAGTTTCCGGCAAAGCATTGTTCAACAGTAGACATGATCACCTCAAGGGCAAAGATGGATCCTAGGAACAAAATCTCCTTCCATACAAAATGACTTTTGACTCAGACTAGGAATGTTCAGACTTTGAGATACAGTGACCACAAAAAAAAAAAAAAAAAAAAAAAAAAGTCAAGGTATTTACTTTCTGGATGATGTCTTTTATGAGTGGGATCTACTTTCCTTGTTAGAGCCAACAAGACTGAACAAGAGTGAACTCTGAGGGTCTTCTAGGTTGTTATTTCCATCTCTTAGGAATCCCTTAATAATTCTGAAATGCTCTATGGACTTTTCTCCTCTATTATACAACAAAGTGAAATGTGAAACAGTTTCTTTTGACTTAACAGGTCTTAGTTAAGGTAGAGTAGTATTTTGCCTATTTTTGTAAAGAGTCCATAGGCCAGGTGGGTTAGGAGAGTCAGTTGGGACCCAGCTTCTCAGTCACCTCTGGGCTCTAATACATCAATCTGTGTGACAGTATACATCATACTTAATTACCCTATGTCTCCAAGCCCTTATGGAGCTGCTATGAAAACTTATGAGTAAATTCCATCTAGTCCTATGTATTTATCATTAGAATACCACACACAGACTAGTGTAGAACCAGTATCAAAAGCCAGATTTTTTAACCTGCAACTTAGTAACTTGGTTTAGAAAATAACTATTGAACAAATAGGTGAACTGACATTGAAATGTGGTCTCTGAGTATTAGGTCCTTCATAGTCTTGTCAGTTAACTTTGTAGAAGGCTGGATGACATTAAGACATAATTTCTTGTCACTTTAAGAATATTTCAAATATGTTAGCGTCAAGCTTTTTAATTTTATGTGTATAAGTGTACTGCCTGTATGTATGTAAGTGCACCCATGTTGTGCAATGCCCATGGAAGTCAGAAGAAGGCACTGGATCCCCTGGAACTGGAGTTACAGATAGCTGTTAGCTACCATGTGGGTACTAGGTATCGAACCCAGGTCCTCTGCAAGAGCAGTCTGTGGGGAAACTGCTGAGCCATCTCTCCAGACTCTCAAGCTTGTTCAAACAAAGTAAGACTGGAGGAGGGAATCTCAACAGCTTCACAACATGCCAACAGAACTACTGTGGAATGTTTTGTCTAAACAGGAGTGGAAGGCATCCTGTACCTTGTTCTTCCCGGCACTTTGTATTTGATCAGACAATGGCTTCCCTACCCAGAGAACCCATGGAACAGGCCTTCACATCCAGGAAACCTACTTCTCCAGAAAAAAACAAAAAAACCTTTCTCTAAAAAATGCACAACAAAGAAAAAAGCACTCATTCTCCTGACCATCTTCACAGTCAGTCGCACAATGTGATATGTGAACACATACGACCATAGCCACCAGTGCCTAGGGCCTGTTCCACTCCAGGTACCCAGTTCAGTCATTTAATTTGACTCTCACAGTAATTCCAAAGGCAGCCATTACCTCTACCTTTTTATAGACTAGGAAACAGACTGTCAAGAAATAAATTCCCCAAGTTTATATAGCAGCTAATGGAATAGCATCCTGAATGCTTAATTTTAGAAATTGAATGTATGTTTTTCCATTATGCCCTGAGGCTGCAAAAGCCTCTGGGAAGGCTCCTCTGGTCACCTGATGTGTATCAACCACTCTCTTTGAGTCACTGTTCCCCATTTAACCCCTGTACAAAGGTTAGCCACCACCGTATATCAACTAGGAAAGTGTTATGAGTCTTCTGTTTAAAAATGTGTTCATGAGTGCCATTTCTTTCAGTTTTTAAAAATTTATTTATTATTTTTATTTTATGTGTAAGTGTATAGCCTGCATGTATGGAAGTGTACCTGTCTTGTGCGATGCCTGTGGAGGTCAGAAGAGGGCATCAGAGTCTCCTGGAACTGGAGTTAAATATGGTTGTTAGTCATCATATGGGTGTTGGGAATTGAACCCAGGTCCTCTGCAAGAATAGCCAGTGCTCTTAACTGCTGAGCCATCTCTCAGCCCCACCATTTCTTTCTAAAGAAATAATTTCACTCTGTGAAATTGACACCAATTAGGTTACTGAATCAAGAAGAGATGCCCAGTGTTGAATTCTGACTAGGAATTAGGTACTAATGTTCTAGTTACAGCTCTGTTCTTCAAAGGGCAAAGCAATTTATTATTCCAAAAAAATAGAAACAAAAATGTCAGTGGGTATGGAGTTCCTTTTAGGGGTGATTAAAATGTTCTAAAATTAGATTATGATGACGGTTGCACAATTCTGCGAACATATTAAACTGCTAAATTGTAGGCTTTAAATGCACAAATTTTATGGTATGTGAATTGTATCATAATAAAGATGTTTTTAGAAGGGCACATCAGAGATTTGATTGCTTAAGTTTTAATTGCCTAAAGAGAAACTAATAAAAGAAAAAAATGTCAGTTTTAACATTTGATGTTTCTTCTGTATTTACCCTAAATGTCAATTTGCTTAATCACTATTACAGTATAAAAAAGAAGCAAATGCAAAGTTTATGCAAATCTTATAAATCTAGATGAACAAGAAAAATCAAGTAATGCTCATGCCTTCTGGAAGTCAATCACAGGCCTCTTTTAAAGTTCAGTGACAAATAGGCTGAAAACTAATGACAATTCATAGAATACTTTTTAGCAGTTCATTCAGAGCAGGAGCCCTCCCATGAGGCAAATAAAGCCCATTTACCTTGTGACAAGGAACCAAGCAAGTTTACTGAAGTCTGGCGAGGGCCTCATGTACGTCTTAATATGTGGCATGGCGTTGCTGCGGCCAGATGTCTCTGCTGACCACTTGCTAGTGACAAGAGACATAAATAACCAATTAGAAAATAATTTAAGATGGACATAATCATACTAAGAAACTGCATGAAGAGCAGAATCCCACCTGAAATGAAAGAAGGAGCACGGTTCTGTGACCTGTGGGGGCTGATTAAAGTCTGTTTAGACAACAGAGTAATGCAGAATCACTTTGGGATGTAAAAAAAAGACTTAAAACTACCCACAAAAAGCACCAAACCCTGTGGACATAAAGCCTTTTGTCTTTTCACAAACTTACACGCACACATGCACTACATTGCTTTTTTAAAAAATATTTTATTATTTTTATTATTTTATGTGTATGAATGTATTGCCTGCATGCATGTGAGTGCACCCATGCCACACAATGCCGCGGAGGTCAGAAAAGGGCTTCGGATTCCCCTGGAACTGAAGTTAAGGACAGTTTGTAGACTCCATGTGGGTGCTGGGAATCAAACCCGGGTCCTCTGCAAGAGCAGCCAGTGGTCTTAACCGCTGAGCCACCTCTCCAGCCACTACATTGCTTTTTTGTGCTTTTATGCACAATTGTACCCAGAGTCTCCTGGCTTGACTATGAGCTTCTAGAAGAAGCAGGAAGCCTGAGGTGTCTTTACCATACACACTACTGAGTAGAGGCTCCATAAAAATCTTCCTGAATGAAACAAGGTGAGTGAAATACGGTCTATCAGAGGTGAGTGTTAAAAAAAGCAGAGGATAATTCAGAAATGCTTTAGCTTTAGCTTTGAGTTTTGTTTCTCGTTTCTAACATTGTAGGCTGTAGGTTCCATAGACTAATGGACTCTCTGATGAAGCAGTGATTTTGATTTTAGGAGGACAATCCCTCAAGGTAACAGGCAGTGTGCAAGCACAGAATCTGGATTAAGCAGGGCCACCATTTTCTTCATTCAAGTGAATTTAGGAAGATGATTCTGAAAGGAGCTCAGCATAAGGAATGTCTTCTGCATGGAACGACTCTCCATCTTGAGAGAATACGATAGAACTGCTACAGACCAACACTGAACTTCAGCAGAAAGCTTCTAAAGTAGAATCCTGCCTTCATTTCTGGCTGCCCAGCTCAAAGACCACCTGTTGAAGTGTGTGAGGAACTGGGAGTGGTCCAGAACACGCAGGAGGAACAAATGCTGAAGGTGGAAGAGGAGGACAGCCCTTTCGTTCCCGTCCCATTCATCAGCTATTTACTGAGCTCAATGACAGGCCAAACACTGTTTTCTATCCCGAAAAGAGTGGCATGGGCTCTGCCCTCAGCAAGTGCGGGCCACGCACCCCAGCCTGCTGTTGGAATGGTTAGACTTCATACTTCAGCAAAGTGAACTAAAATGCTGCTTAAGGAAATTATAAACTACCCAACACGATCTTCTATTCATCTTTCTCTTTGCCTGCCAATATTTAAATAGAAACCTCACAAAGATAAATTTTACTCTTGGTATTAAAAACCTATTCCAAAATTTTTTCAAAATGTTGTTTTAAATTATTTCTATCACTAACATATGTAGATGAAAGAATATAGCTATATTATATAAGGCTCTTTTTAAAAGAACAGACTGACATAACATTCTTATTCCTAACGAAGTAAGAGCAGCATTCTGAACCAATTACTTACTGAAAGTAGGAATGGAGCCAGTTCTGCTTTTCAGCTGTCTGGATGCCATAGGGAAGAGAGCCCCCGGCTTTTAAAAGAAGGAAAAGAAAACAAATAAATAAAAATAAAATAAAATTTGAGGCTTCTTCACTAAGAAAATTTCTTAATAAACAGTAAGAAGGTAAACGGAAAACAACTACTTCCCCTTTTCGTCTTAAGTAATAATTCACCGAAGGAAAATATCTATATTTGCTTGTATCAGGTATGCTTACCCTTGCTTTTCCTGCCTGTCTGTCTCTGTACTGGGGATTAAACCCAGATACTCATACATGCTAGGCTAGTGCTCTACCTCTGTACTCTATCTCCTCACTTTACTTTTTATTTAGTCTAAGTTGCCTAGGCTGGCCTTGAATTTGTGATCTGCAGGCCTCAGCCTAAAGCGTAGCTGGGATTATAGGTCTGAAGCACCTGGCTCAAAGTAAGTACACTCTCTTCATAGGCTTCCTTTCTTAGGGGAAAGAAACATCTGAACAGTAAATGCAGAAAAGAAAAGGTATTATTTCACCATTCAGTAGTGAAAATATCTATACAGATTTGAGTGTTAGATCAATGGAACCCTGGCCTGTTTTACAGCCTGTATGCAGATAGGACATCAGCTGGTTTTTGCCCAGACAGGACATCTGGGGAAGATAGTACATGACGAAAGCTCAGTCCTGCCTATTTTGCCTTTACATTCTGCTTTTTCCAAACAGGTCAGCTGAATAGATTCTTATAGAAGATTTGAAAATAAAATGTTCAGCAAACAGTTCTTTTTTTAAGGAATTCTATAAGCACTATTATTGCAAAGAGAATAAGAAATATTTCCAAATGGAAATACAATTAGAAATCAATTTTTGTTCATTTCTGAAAGAAGAAAACTCCACTGTAGATTCATCACTGACTTTGCAAACATATGTTGGAACTTTTCCACATTAATCTATATCCAGAGAGGACTTTAAATGACTCCAACATCTAACAAGGCATGTCCTGTTTCCTACACAAATAACTAAAAACATACTCCATTTTAGAACCAGTTATAAAAAAGCTTTACTGAAAACATCATGTTCTTCCCCATTAAAAGTGCACTTTGAATAGATCTAGCCCATTATAAGTATAGAAAGAAAAACTACCACCATGTCCCAGAGTCAAAGTGAAGTAATTTTAGTTTTGCTGTTAAAAAGCAAAAAATGGTAAATAGACTCTGAACTTTATTGAGACTCTTTTGGCAAAGTGACATCTAATTTCATAAGCAATAAATGGGCTAAATTGGTCTTAATTTAGTGTGTTCTGCTATGAGCCATCAGCGAATGCCAATCAAACTTGGCTTTTCCAGAGGCACACTGGGTTTTTGTTAATAACCTGATTGCCCATCCAGGGTGATTCCACTTAAAGTTCAGCACTCAGTAGTAGGAAAAGGGAGCTGGAGAATAAAGTTGCTAAGATGTTTAGAAAACAATACTAGGCATTTGCAGATGATGCCCCTGAAAAATGACATACCAACTCAACTACACAAAAGGTAGTACTAATAATAATTGTAGACCTTAAACGGACCTGTATCAGAAATCCATATTTGGAAGAACCACATAGTACCTCAGACAGAGGAGAAGAATATTAGGAATGATCTGGCGAGGCAGTCAGTGCTAGGAGGAGGTGACTGTACTTGGACATCTTGTCTTAACAACCGTGTGTTATTGGAAACACTGAGGACAAGCACAACTGTGCACAGAGTTAGGATGAGGATGAAGCAGCATGCTCAAGCGCCTGTCTCTGGAGCAGTGCAGAGCTCAACACCTGTTTCATGAACTTTATGTGGGTATGAGAAAACCATTGCTACATTTCTAACGAATTCTGGCAAAAAGTCTCCCAGGATATTTATGGAGTATGAACAGAAACCACAACTGAGACTGTTTCTCCAACAAGTACCAGGATATCCTTCTAAGCTGGTGCGCACATTTTCCACAGAAGGATAGATCTAAAAAAAGCAAGAAAAGAGAAACAATAAAACAGCATAAATCACATTGAGAGAAAGGTTATGTTGACTAGTTTTTAAGAAAATGGAAATCCTAACTGAAAATTGTTGAGTTTGAAAACTTAGAAAATGTATTTTAAATTAAAAGAAAATTCCCATCTTACTGAAAAAAAATCTAGTAATTAAGCTACAGGAAGCATGTGTATACTTGATGAGAAATAACACTTTGATTTAAATATTTTTCCTATGAAATGCCAAAATTAATATTGAATTGAATGAAATTAATAATTAATTCACAGGTCTTTACATAATTAGTAGAGCTTATAACGCTGCTACAATTTTCTACCAGGTATTTCTTTTCTTGGCTTGACTGCCTAAAAGAAAGAACGGAAAAGGCACAGCACGCTGTGTGGCTGAGCCGAGGCTCCTGAACACACCAGCAAGCCCTCAGCCCTGGCTGGTGACAGGCACAAATGACATGTTAACTCCACACCTCAGAACCACAGAATAAAGCAACTATAGTAACAAAGTTGGTGCCTCAATTCTTCTGGACTAGGACCAACAATACCTAAGGAGCAGAACTCACCAGATGAAGGGGGGCAGCGCTCTTTCCTGGAGTCCTGCCATCCTCCCCCAGCAAGCTTTCTTTGAACTCAGTGCACAACCACTTAGAATCATCGGGCCCCAGGGAGCCAATGCTTGAAAACTGACCCACTACAGGCCAGCACTCGGCTTTAGGCACAGATGAAGCCTGCTCCTTCAAAAGCTGCCAAAAAAAGTGCAACAGTAGCACACATGATAAAAGTTAGTAACAATAAGAATAATAACTGAAATGCCAAAATACCCCAAAACACAGGCTGCTGCCCTTGGAATACTTAATTTACAAGGAAATGCCAAATATATTAGCAATCAATGTCATGCCCACAGAAACATTCTTTTCTTTTAAAAAGTTATTTATTGGGGCTGGAGAGATGGCTCAGTGGTTAAGAGCAATGACTGTTCTTGCAGAGGACCCAGGTTCAATTTGAAACACCCACATGGCAGCTACGAACGGTCCTTAACTCTGGCCCTGGTCCCGCCCTCACTTCCCTCTGCTTCCCTGGGCCTGCAAGACCGACAGGCCTCTTTCCTGGATTCTAGGGCTGACCTTTCCTCTTCCTGATCCTTTGCATCCAGACCAACCCAGCTCCTCAGTGCATTCCCCAGGAGCCCTTGGGGCTGATTCCAACCCCCATCTTCCTTTGCATCTCTGGGTGCCATGGCCACCAGCTGCCCTAGACCAGCATCTTTCCTGGGCCAAGCTCCCAGGCCAGTCCAACCTCCAAATTCATGGGGCCAAAATCTTTCCGGGAGGGATCCAGACCTTAGGAGAAAGCCTGAGAGCATCTGATCCTCATCTGACTTGGGCCTCTGCGAGAACTCCTGAAGAAAAAAGCAATCTGGCCACTCCAATATAAAAAAAAAGGAGAGAACTGGAAGCTTAGAGGAACTAGCCATTCATGCCCCAAAACTAAACCACAACGACACATAAAGTTCACAAAAAGAAGCAGACCTAAACTTGAAGGCTCGAGTCTCACACAAGAATCAGAAACTACAAAAGAAATTCACATGTCAAAATCACAGAGAAACAATAATAACATGAAAAACCAAAATAACATATCCCCACCAAATACCTATAGCTCGCTAGAGGAGTACAATGATTATGCCTTAGAGATAATGCAGGACATGGAACTCAAAAGAACAATTATAAACATGATAAAAGAATTCAGTGAATTTAAAGAACACACAAACAAAGAAATCAAAGAACTGAAGGAAGATAGGGATAAACTTCTGAATGAATTCAGAAAAGAGTTAGAAATATTGAAGAATACTCAGGCTGAAATGAAGAAGGAAGTAAAACACTCAGTAAGCCAATTAGAAATGAGAGGAGAAACCCTCATGAACAGGATGAATGAAATGGAAAACAGAGTATCAAAACTGGAAGATAAAGTGGACGAACTAGACCACTCAAGCAAAGATTATGAAAAATTTAAGAAATCAAAAAAATGGAATATGCAGGAATTGGGTGACACCATAAAAAGACCAAACTTACGAATCATAGGCATACAGGAAGGAGAAGAATCCCAAGATAATGGCATGGACCAGATCTTCAACAGAATCGTGAAAGAAAATTTCCCAAAATTAAAGACAGGCCCATACAAATAAAAAAGCATATAGAACACCAAACAGACAGGACCAGAAAAGAAACTCCACGGCACATCATAGTAAAAGCACTAAATGTACAGAACAAAGCGACAATTCCGAAAGCTTCAAAAGAGAAACAACAAGTCACATATAAAGGAAAACCCATTAGGATTACAGCTGACTTTCAGTGCAAACTATGAAAGCCAGAAGAGCCTGGACCAAAGTATTCCCAGTTTTAAATAACCACAGATGCCAACCCAGATTACTATACCTAGCCAAAATGTCTATTATAGTTGAAGGGGAAAGAAAAATTTTCCATGACATAAATAGGCTGAAGGAATTCATGTCCACAAAACCAGCCCTTCAGAGAGTTCTGGAAGCAATACAAAGAGCTGAAGAAAGGAAGGACGATACCCAAGGGATTGCAGAAAGAACTCCAATGAAGGTATAACTGTGGACAAGTATAGCTATACCAAGGATGTAAACAGAAATAAAAATGACAGGATTCAATACTCATCTTTTATTAATAACTTCAAATATTAACGGACTGAAATCCCCAGTCAAAAAACACAGACTAGGTGAATGGATTAAGAAAAAAAACATCTTTTTGTTGTCTGCAAGAAACTCATCTCACTTTCAAGGATAGACACTATCTTAAACTGAAAGGATGGAAAAAAATATACCAAGCAAATGACACTAAGAAAAGAGCAGGAGTAGCAATTCTGATATCTAACAAAATAGACTTTAAACCAAAACTAATCAGAAGAGATAAAGAAGGCCACTTCATTTTGATCAAAGGAGCAATAAATCAAGAAGATATTACAATCATGAACATATATTCACCAAACTCTGGTGCATCCAACTTTATAAAAACAATATGATAGGACTTTTTTTTTTTTTTATTTGGTCTTTTTGAGACAGGGTCTCCCTGTAGCTCCAGCTGTGCTGGAACTCAGTACATAGACCAGGCTGGCCTTGAACTCACAGAGATCTGCTAAAGGACTTTAAGACCCAGATTAATTCCAGCTCATTAATAGTAGGGGAATTCAATATCCCACTGTCTCCATTAGATAGGACAATAGGGCAGAGAGTTAACAGAGAGACATCTGAATTAAACAATACTATATATCAAATGGACTTAATAGACATCTACCGAGTATTCCACCCAAGCACCAAAGGACATACATTCTCCTCAGCACCCTATGTAACCTTCTCCAATATCGGCCATATACTGGGACACAAAACAAACCTCAACAAATACAAAAAGATTGAAATAATTCCACGCATTCTATCAGACCACAATGCAATAAAGCTTACAATCAACACCGGAAGAAGACCTAATCACCACAACACATGGAGATTAAACAACACACTCCTGAATGATGAATGGGTCAAAAGAGAAATTAAGAAAGAAATAAAAGTATTCCTGGAACTAAATGAAAAGGACAATACAAAACAACAAAAATCCCTGGGACACGCTGAAAATGGTCCTTAGAGGGAAGCTTATAGCTTTAAGTGCCTACATAAAAAAAATCAGAAAGAACACAATAAATGACGTTTAATGTTGCAACTCAAGCCTATGTAGACCAGGCTGGCCTCCAACTTACAAAGATCTGCCTGCCTTTGCCTCCCCAGTGCTGGGATTAAAGGCGTGCGCCACCACGCCCGGCATTATAAAGGACTATTCTAAAAACCTATGCTCTACTAAATTTGAAAAATCTAAAAGCAATGGATGGATATCTAAAATCATGGGAACCACCAAAGTTAAACCAAGAAGATATCAACAGTTTAAACAAACCAGGAAGATATCAACAATTTAAACAGACCCATAACAAAAAAAGAAATTGAAACAGTAATACAAAACCTCCCTACTAAAAAAACCAGGACCAGATGGATTTACAGCAGAATTCTATCAGACCTGTAAAGAAGATCTACATCCAATACTACTTAACTTATTCAAAAAGATAGAAATGGAGGGAGAACTTCCAAATTCCTTCTATGAAGCCAGCATCACTCTAATACCAAAGCCAGGT